TGGTGAAGTCACTCCCGAAGTTCACCATTCAGCCGGGGACTGGACAGCCTCATAAAACAAAACAGGACTAATGAGGCACAGCAGCCCAGCGACAAGGACTAGAAGGCAGCAGGGGACAGGAAAGTTGGTGATAGGGAACCCAAGGTTGAGAAGGGACAGTGCTGACATGTCGTGGGGTTCTTAACCAGTGTTATAAAACAGTACACGTACAAACTATTTAATGAGAACTATTTGTTCTGCAAACCTTCATCTAAAGTACAAATTATCTATGTGAGATCAAACTGACAACAGCAACTCGAAAGGTCTGATGGAAAGCCTAGGGGGCAGTGAGTTGAAAATAATGGTGATGGAATAATTTTGAAAAGGATAGTGAGCTTAGCAGCACAACTGGAAGATTGTAATCGATGTCACTGAATTGTACATGCAGAAACTTTTGAAATGGTATAACTTTGGCTATGTATATTTTCACCAAAAAAAAAGTCCTCCAAGGTCGAGAAGGGAGGGTGTTGACATGTTGTGGGGTTGTTAACCAGTGTTATAAAACAATATGTGTACTGACTGTTTAATGAGAAACTATTTGTTTTGTAAACATTCTACAACAACAACAACAACAACAAAATATCTAAATACATCCCCATAAGCAAACAAATAATTTGCTGCCTTCCACAAGGTTGCCCCCAAAACATTTTGTCCTGAGGGGACCTCTGACCCTACATCCCAACTCACAGTAGTCATGAAAAAATTAGAAATTTAGAGACAAAATAATAAAAGGGTTGGAAAATACTGCCTCATCTCATTATAAAAAGCAGACATTAACCCCCCCAAAATTTTGCAAAATAAAATTAAAAGCTCCTTCAGAAAGCCATAACTATCCAGGGTCTCTTAACTTTGATACATCCATACTCAACATCAACATTTATGCCAATTGTACATTTTATGTAAGAGAGAGAAAAGTATCTCTCCAAGTCCAAAACAGATGGAATGCACAAGGTAGATCGTACAACAACTTTATATAAGACAAAACAATCTCCCTAGAAGAGCTTACAACAGAACTCAGAGGAAAATAATACCTGAAAAGGGGACTTCTGTGCCAAAGGAGATTTCTGTGCATTCTTTAAATTTCGCTGCTGAGCAATGAAACAAATCAAATGGTTTGTTTCAGGAGAGCCCCGAGCACCAATTGTAGAACGTCGTCTAGATTTTTTAAGATAGGATGATGGCTTTCCTGTAATGAAAACTCTTTTAAATTAGAACAGTCATCAGTAATCACGTCCTGACTACCCATAACGTACCCACCTGACAGAGAAAACATGATTAACACATGGTACAGAAATCTAAGTAGAGAATGACTGGCAAAGTTGTTCACATAGAATTGGCTAGATAGGGACTTTCTATTTTGTCCACTGATTTATTCCACGCCTAGTATGTGGAAGGCATTCATTAAATAGTTGTTGAATGAATACATGAACACATTTAATGGTTTTTGTTTTTGTTCCGTATTTCCTGCAAACAGAGGTGAGCAACTGCTCGCTTTGACTAAGAATCTCTCTTTTTCTGAATTAGTCTTATGCCCAAGGAAGGGGGCAGTGGTGGTTCAGTGGTGGAGTTTTTGCCTTCCATGCAAGAGACCTGGGTTTAACTCCTGGCCAATGTACTTCATGGGCAGTCACCACTTGTCTATCAGTGGAGGCTTGCATGTTGTTATGATGCTGAACAGAGTTCAGCAGAGGTTCCAGATTGACACAAACTGACAGACAAAGAAGGACCTGGTTATCTACTTCCAAAAATCAGCCAATGAAAATCCTATGGATCACAATGGTCTGATCTGTAACTGATCATGAGGATGACGCAGGACCAGGTAGTGTTTCATTTCACTGTTCTTGGGATCCACATGAGTTGGGGCAATTTGACAGCAGCTAACAAACAACATCCCCAAAGACTGAAAAGAAAGGATCTCCACCTAGGCACATGTACTCTTTCAAATTCTTAACATTTCAAGACGATTTTGCTTCTCTTAGTGTATGTACAGCATAATGACTTGTCTAAATTCATAAGGGATAAGAATCAGGATCAGCACAGAGTTGGTTTCTATGAGGCAGAGGTCAAGCCAATCTCCACCTTCCCACTTTTCCATTATTTCTGACATCAGTTGCTCTCCCTACAGTGCTTTCTACTTCTCTGCTGGGTTCGATAATTCATTGCAATGGCCACACAGAACTCAAAGATCATACTCACAGTTATGTGGTTTGTTAGGGAAGTAAGAAGCTACAACGCAGAGTCAGGATCACTTTGGAAGTAACAGGAACAAGTCAGGATCAGTGTCAGGAAAGGCAGGGTCTGGAAGGGTCCCCAAAGTGGAGAGCACATCCATCCATTCTTCAGTGCAGGACAGTTTCCAACCAGGACAGCTCTCAGAGCAAAAAGGTTCATGGAGCAGATAAGCTCTCTGCTGAACAACTCTCAAGACTGTTGTTGGCTGGCACCACTGCCCTCAGCGAGCTCAGCGGGCATGGTTTCTCTGCCAGCAGCTGCCTTCTCTGCTGGGCAGGCCTCCCCACCACCAGGCTCTCAGCTGTCCCATCTCTCTGCCCTTTCTCTGCAGGCCAGTTCAGCTCCACCAGCACTGCTGTCAGCCACTGACTGGCACAGCTCATAGCCAGTGTAGCAGCTTGCTAAGCTGTTCTCTCAGCTGCAGGTTTGGTTTTTTCTTCTCACTGGGACTAGGAGGGTTTTAAGCACAGGTCTTCCATGTCAAGGACACATGCACCTCCCAGCTCGTCAATCAAGTGGGAGTGTTTTAAGTGCAGGGTTTCTGTGTCAAGGACACACTTACCTCCCAGCTCTTGTCAATCAAGTGTCCCTGAAAACCTTTGTTTCAATACTTTATATATACCAGTCCTCATCAGTTACAAAGCAGGGCCTCCCTCACCAGACCGAAGTTCAAACCCAAAACTAAACCCACTGCTGTCAAGTTGATTCCAACTCACAGCAACCCTACAGGACAGAGTAGGACTGCGCCAAAGGGTTTCCAAAGTTGTAAATCTTTATGGAAGCAGACTACTACATCTTTCTCCCACAGAGTCGCTGGTGGGTTTAAACCACCGACCTTTAGGTTAGCAGCAGAGTGCTTATCCACTGCACCACCAGGGCTCCTCGACCTGAGTTCAACCAATCTCAATTACCCATAAGATGTCAATCAACTCAGGTCCTGTACAAAAGTAACATTCTCTACAGGTAGAGATTGGCCCTCCCCAGGAAAAAGTACTAAGCTCTGGGAGTATACAACTTGGGAGGTCTCCTAAATTTTTTTTCCAAAGAACCAGGACAAAAGGCCACGTGAAGGGACTCATTGCACCACCCTTAGATACCTATCTTCAGCACAGTACCCTGAATTCTGGCCATGTACCCAAGCACACAAAATGCAGCCAGCTTTTTTAAGACTGATATTCTTGAAAAGCGAACACCTTGGCCTTGTCTCATATATTACCTAGCCTAGTGCCCTTTGACTTTCAAGTCCTCTATATCCTGCATTTTTAAATTCTGTTCCATTCCTTCGTTTCTTCCTTCTCCATTTAAACCAGAAATTCACAGGTGAATTTCTACTCCTTGGAGGAGATTAGCCCCTGAGTCAATTTTGTTTGCAATTTTGAAAGAAGCACACCCCAATCATTCCACACTGTATTTTCTTAATTGTTCTTCAATTTTCTCTTATATCTGCCATTCCTGAACATAAAATGTTTTACTATTTATAGCATACATCCTCCTGTATCTACATGTTAAAAAGTAATTCATACACATTCTTTCCCAGTGGGTATGTAGCACAACTCTGACTTAGGAACATTATCACACTGGCTGCCTGGTATCCTGCTACGCTAGATGGCCGTGCAAGTGCAGAGAAGTCTCCCTGAGCAAGCAAGCTGACAGAGTCAATCATTTTAGATACATAAAGTAACAAAATAAACAGGATAGATGAGTAAAACTGTATTAAGGTTATTTTTAAATTTTAAAAGCACTACAATAGAACGACAACTTTTGTTACCTGGAGTGTTCTTAACAAAGCTTTCAGGTGTAATTCCCAATTGCTCTACAGTTACGGTAGAAAAGTTCAAAGGTGATTTAAATATATCTGGTCGGCAAAGATTAGCAGTCACTTCTGCTTCGTGTTTCTGAGGAGTTACAAGCTTCCCACTTCCCAAAATGAAAGAGGTATTTTCTGAAACAGAAGTAATACATTGTTGGGGCTAAACATCATTATCAAGCAAAATACCTAAACCTTAATTTTCACAAGATCACAACAGATCACTACACACCAGCATTGTTAATAGCAGACTCTTTGTCCTTTGTTTCAAGGAGCTCCTTGCTTTCTGAACTGGTATCCATCTAAAAAAAAGAGAGAAAAAAATATAAATAACTCCACCCCAAAACTTAACGTGACTCTATCAAGATCCTCATTCAAGGCTGAATTCTAATACAATCCATAAAGGTATGAAAACAGATGTCAAGACAGTACTTTTGCAGCTCAAATTAAAGCAATGGGGAAAACTGCTGTTCAGGATGAAATAAAGCAGACCCCACACTATAAGCCATGGCTTTTCAAACCTTAGTGAACATTTGAATTATCTGGGTAATATGTTAAAAATGCAGCTTTGTAGAGTCTCAGGAATTCTGATTCAGTGGATCTGGATGGACCCAGGATTCTGCATTTTAAAAAACATTCTAGGTGATCCAGAGTAGGCTGGATGAGGGCCACTGTCTCCGAAGGGCAGGATACACCCTTAAGAAGCAGCACTGTTGTATAATATTTGAAATCCAAACCAGGGCACTTGTCCTACCGCTCACTCCGGCAAATTTGATTTCCTCTCGCTTTCGTTTATATAGAAATCTCAGCAGCAGACGAGTGTTGGTGTCAACAAAACTGGGGTGAAGGCCCGATACGACGTCTCTTTCTATCTCTTGAGGTTTCCTGACCTCGGCTGTACGGTCCAGAAGGTTCGGCTTGGGAAATCAACTGTTGCTCGCTAAACCGGCAGCCACGGGGGCTGCGCAGTGGCTCGTAAACGGCTGCTCCGCCGCTCTTCTCTCCGGTTCCTGCCCACCCAGGGTTCCCGGCCGCCCGACACCACAACCCAGTAGGGTCCACTTTACCTAAACACTCACCTCCCGCCGCTCCCCGCCGCTGAATTCAAATCGCCGACCCCGCCTCCTCAGCGTCGGAACGTAACCTCCACAAATCCCTACGCCAGCAACCACCCGCACGTGTCCACTCACACCTCCAACTCTTCCAAGCCTCTACCTCGCTGTCATAAGAAAAGGACGGGCTTCCTGGGCAGGGAGACAGGCCACCGCTAGCTGAGGGTGACCCATTGGCCAGAGAAACTAGCATCTATCCTGCGTTATGGGACTACTTTCCGTGTAAGTCTCGCGGAGTAACCTTCAGCTGGTACTGCAATCCGCCCCCCACTTTTCGGTTGGCTGCTGCAAACTTCGAAAAGAACCATTGGGCCAATCATAGAAGAACGACGGGCGGGCTCTTACCCAATCAGCCAGTCCCCGCTACAGCCGTTTCCTTTGTGGGTTAGTGAGTGGGAGGGGTTAGAGTGGGGAGGCGCTGACTGTTGTAGGTCACTTCTAGAGCTCCACCTCGTTACCCCAAACCCCGCCTCCATATGCAGATAAGCTCTTCTTGTGCGGCCTTCTATTGATTTTGCGCCTGCCCAGTAATGCTTCGAGCGGCCTTTCGGCTCCAGGTTCTGCTTTAATTGGCTGATAACCCTTCCCGTCTACAACCTCTCTTCCCTCCCTCCACCTCGTCTGGGTTGGTATGAGCCCACCCAATGCAGGGTTATGATTGGCTGGATGCCGGTCATCCCTACCCGTTGATTGGTGAAGATTAGAGTCAGTCTCGGAGCGGTGGGGGAAGGGCCCCAGGCTGGCTGGGGAGCATAGGGGCGGGGTGGGAAGGAGGACCCGCCAACCCCGGGGTGTGGGACGGAGAGTGTGTGTTTGTCTGTGAGTAAGAGGAGGAAGGTGGCGAAGGGAGGAGAGTCCAAGTGGGTGGAGGGAGGGGAAGGGCAGGAGAAGAAAAAGGTGGGAGGAGAAAAAGGTGGGAGGGTGGCGGCTCACTCAGGACCTGGTGGGGGCAGCGCGATGAGGCGGGTGACCCTGTTCCTTAACGGCAGCCCCAAGAATGGAAAGGTAAGGGGGTCGGGAGGAGGTGAGGCGGGGCTGGCTCTGGGGGCGAGGGCAGTGGAGTACAGAATGGGCTCGCAGGGCAGAGAGAGCCGGAGGGCAAAGGGCTGAAGTTGGGTAAAGGAGCTGGGAGCTGGGAGGTGGGCGTGCGTCGGGGCGCGGGGGGTGTCCGGGAGGTGAAGATCGGGTTCCCGCGGCCTCCTTCCAATCCTCCTGATTTCTTGCCCGAGTCTGCCCTTCAACTCCTCAGCTGCCCCGGGGACCAGTGCAGGTCAGGTTTGTGCTTAATCGTTCCCAAACCCAGGACGTGGGTCCCGAGAAAGGAGGGGACGGAGGGCGTAGGGAGGGCCGCTGTCACCCAAGTCCTTAGTGCTGATGTTCCTGTTTCCATCTAATCACCGAAGACACCGCTCCCCCACCCCTGATTCCGCAGGGTTGTAGAAGGCGCTTGTTTCCACCTTCGTGCTGAGTAATGGTCTGCTCAAGAAAGTGGTAGTAACGGTTAAGGCATTGTAAGGTTGATCAGGTAAAAAAAAAAAAAGAAAAAATTAAACTTTTTATCAGTGGATAAATAAAATATTCCTTCATTCATGGTAGAAAAGAGGATTGAAAATTGGGAAATTTTCTGGATGTTTTTACCACCTATATTTTAGGTGCCACAAGCCCCCAAGCCCTGCCGCTGTCAAACTTATGTACTCGTTTTCTTATTTCGCTTTATTTTAGTTTCTTAGAGGACTGTGACGTGCGACCTAAATGGACTGATTTGGCAGTACTGTTTGCTGTGTGAGGGTGTGGTACTAAATATTTTTCCAGTGTTAGAGCAAGCCAAAATGAATCCTTTTCCTTCTCAGCCTCTTGCCCCACCCATAAAAGTTGTTCAGCTCCTTTGGAAATTTTGACTGTTCAAGGCACATATGTGGCTAAAATGATATCTAGAAGTGGCTAAACCTTAGATTCTAAGGTAAAGGTAATTTGGTCTCACGTCAATTATTTGCTAAAATATTTTGTTTCCTGCACATTCTGGAAACGTAAATTTTTAAATAGTGAAATTTTGCGACGGTATAAAAATGGCTTTCCCACTACTCTTATTTTGAGTAAACATGCTCAAAATCTGAACCACAGTGTGGTTTTTTAGCTATAATTTTGTGTTCTCCTGGTCTTAGAGACTTAATACTCATACAAAAACAGGATTGGCATAAATTCAAGTTTCTGAATTTTCATAAATGGTAACTCAAAATATGCTTCACAAGATTTACGTTATTTCTGTTAACTTTTTCTAAACCAGTTTTGTGGTTAGCTACTACTCATAATCTAAAACTTACGTTGTCACTGGAAGAGAGATTTAGTAGTGTATTACAATTATAATATGTTCTCAAAAGCAAATCTCTACTTGACCTTTTTTATCCAACATCTCTGCTATATTCATGAAAGACAAGATGTTAAGACCCAGTTATAAATATTTAACTATGCTCTAAATCTCTTCTGAAACCACTGAATTTTGTTGCCAAAGACTGGCTGAGTTGGACTTTCCATACTACTTACGATAAGGACTTTTTTTAAATCTATCTAGTCTTAACTAGGTTAGATTTTGGGACATAAATTTTACTTACTTTAAAAATATTTGCTAAAGAATCTCAGAAGATTTCAAAAATGCACCTTAAATAATTAAAAATAGATATATTACAAAGATTATACAAACATAAACTGGAGGTTACTAGTGTAATTCAATATTAAAAATAAGCCATACCATAATCCTTACTATACTGGAGAATATAGTCTAAAACTTTTCTCTAAATAGCAAAAGTGTCAATGTTTCCTCTCCATTAAGTTGATTAATAAACAGTATTATAATTACTCTACAAGAAACCAAAGGGGTAGCTTCTGTCCAGAGGTGAGATGGGAAGGCAGAGTTAGGAGCTGGTTGAATGTTCATGGGGAATCGGGTGGAGGAGGAGGAGTGTGCTGTCGCAGAATGGAGTGAGCGGTTGGGGTCTCATAACAATGTATGTAAAAAAAAAAAAAATTTCTGTATGGGACACTAACTTGAAATGTAAACTTCATTTAATTACAATAATAAAAAAAGAAAAAAAACAATATTATAATTACTCTTATTTGACAAAAAAGAGCAAGAAAATACACAACAGCCTACATATATATATCTATGAATGAGTCCCTGGGTGGCACAGATGGTTAAGCACTCAATTACTAACTGTAAACTAACGGAAAGGCTGGAAGTTCAAACTCACCCAGAGACGCCTCAAAGACAGCCCTGGCAACCTGCTTCCAAAAGGTCACAGGCTTGAAAACCCTATGGAGCAGTTCTACCCTGCACACGCATGGTCACTGCGGGGTCACTATGAATCGGAATCAGCCCAACAGCAACTAACAACTACGTGTAAATATATACATATACACACACATGTATATATGCACATATATGTATGCATACACACACACACACACACACACATACTGTTTAGCCAGGATTGGCATTATCATGACATCAATGTTTATTAACATGCTGATGCAAAGAGCTACTACAAAGTAGTCTGATTTCCTATACACCAGTTGGTATATCTCTGTCACTTTCATTATCTCCTTATTTACTTAGGCTCTATTGTTTCCTGGCCATAAGAATAATCTGTTTTTCCAAAATGTTTTCTTTCCATAATGCCTGTTTAGTGGTTGCCAGACTGGGCCATGAAGCTTAAGGGTGAGGAGGCACAGAATTGTAACAGGAAACATCATATGCTCACCATGATTAACTGTACACTGAATAAGTGGAGCTAGTGAATGTTTTGATGTTGGAGAGAGGGATATGTGTTCTCTAAAATAGTGGTTTCCAGAGTGAGATGATGTACCACAAAGGGTGTAAAAAAATGATCAATTGGAGTTTAGGAAGAAATAGTATAACTTTTATTTACATTTTTCACTTAAAAATATAAAATAATATTAAAACTTTATTTTTTTTTATCTAGAAAGACACCAGTGCCTCCAGTCACTGGATGTGTCAGCTGGTCACACATTTTCTGAAAGAACAGAGTGTTCACGTGAAAAAGTTAATAGCTGCTTCTTGTTGATTTACTTTTGGCATATTGTGATGTATTGAAGTTTACCGGTGCTGGGTTAAGATGTGTATTATCCAGTTTTAACTGAACTAACTCTCACCAAAAGGTCAAGTGGCTTTAAAAGATTCCTTCAATGAAATTGCAGATTGAAGACAATATTAATTATGCAATCACAAGTAAACAGCAACAAAATGGCAGAGATGGCACTTCTAGTATAAACTGCCAGCCATACTATGAGATTAAAAAAAAAATGGATCTCTTTAGATACGAGAAGTAGTCAAAAAATGCCACATTTATTTTCTTCCCATACAAAAATTTATACATACATTGTTATCTTACGCTAATTGCTCTCCTCATACTGTGACAGTACACTCCTCCTTTCCACCCCTGATTCCCCATGTCCCTTCAACCAGCTCCTAACCCTCTCTGCTTTCCCATCTCACCTCCGGACAGAAGCTGCCCGTTTAGTCTCTTGTATCTACTTGAGCTAAGAGGCACA